TTGAGAGGCTTTTATAGCTGCTTCAGCGCATTCAATTTCTATTTGAGCTTCAGCTTTTTCTCGTTCATCTTTGGCTGATTGTAACTTTCGTTGCGAATCAGATAAAGTATCTTGTGCAGCCTAAACCGTATAAAAATATAGAATAAAATTTGAAAAGAAATAGTATATACAACAGTTCAAGTAATTCATATTATATTGCATACTCAGCGCTTTAGCTTTGTAACCAACATTTGTGAACGCGAAGGAAGACACTTACTTTTGTGTCTAAATTTTCGACAAGAATCGCTTCCTCTGCCAATAACTGAACACTTGAATCCTGATGTACAGCTATTGATCCGCTACTGACTAAAACAGAAAAGAAGTTGGTGGTAAGATAATAAGTATGTTATGTTGGAAGATTATTATTAACCAAAATATCGTTTTGTTGTTCCATCATTTTCGATCACAGCAACTACACCTGGTTTCAGTACTCCCAAGATTGGAACATGATGTGCTGTAAGGGAAAAGGAAAATAAATCGTTCGAGTATTAGAATACTTTACTTTCAAAACAAGATGATACACACCTAGAATACCCATATTACCACTCATCGATGGGACATCAATTTGCTTTACATTTTTGGATTGATTATAAAATACCTAAACACAAAAAAGTAATTTCGATATAAAGATCTGTGTAGATGTGTTCACAGACAAACTATTGACATCTAACCTCAGAGGGTGCTGCAAATGTAAAGATCATGTCAGCTCCTGAACCTGCGGCTGATGTTGCAGGAGCGGTAGTCGTTGTTTGATTTCTTACAGACATAGAATTCATAGCAACTATGCGCCTAAAAGCAGTATTAAAATGTCGGACTGATAAACGGGCTATAACGGACATCTAAAATATAGTTACCAATGGTCACAGAAAAACAAAGTCTCTTATTTGTATTTTTTCGACGGGAAATTATCTTCTTATATCATAAAAAAAACAAAAATAAAAGAAAGAAAGCAATCGAAAGAGAGACATAGCTGCAACATATACTGGATATTTAAAAATCAAATTTTCCTCCCACTATGAGGCAGTCGGCTCAGTGTTTTCAATAAAAAAATTTTGCCATGATGGATTTTTCCACAGTAAAATCAATAATATTGTAGAAGTTTTACGGTTCGAATTCCCAATTCAATAAAAGCTCACCTCACAATCAGATTTAAGGCTAGAAAAATAATGGAATTTTTAAAGTCACGATGAAAATTACAGCAGCAAATCCAATTGTCTAATGTGCTACTAAAAACACAGGACTGTTGATAGATCTGAGAAAAAGTAGATTTAAGTAATTGAAAGTAGATTTGAAATAATTTGCAAAAAAATGCTTCGACAGACAGAGTGTACCGTCTCATTTTTCCATAAAGGAATTGTGAAGTAGCTGAGAAAGCTAATCTAATCAAACTTGGCTCTCTCTCATCACTGTCCAAATAGTATAAGCTTTAATTTCTATGAGTTCGATCAGAAAAAAATAAAATAAACAAATAGAAGACGTAACTAGAGCACGTCGCGGTATCAAAAGAAGAGGGAGAAAGATAGACACCCATTTTTTTCATAAAAATTCATCCATTATCGAATACTCTTTGTTCCACTAATACGTCTGAGAAATAGAAGTGTAGCCAAGCAGAATTCTTCGTAAAGAACATTTTCTTATTCCTTATTGGTTTACTTCTGGTACAATGATCGAAGAATAAGTTAATAGTTGATGGGTAGGTGCAATTTGCGTCTCGATCTAGCGGCTGCGTCTTAGCGTCTCTATTTGGATTGGCTGGAACCAACGAATAGAAATTTGTCTATTTTTTATCGATAAAATATCCAAAAATGCGTTAGTAGTTGTGTGGAGGTTAAAGAAAAAGAAGAAAAGGGAGTTTTCCT